CGGTAAGCCACAGCAGTCGCTCTTACAACGCTAAAAAATAGTGAAACGGATTCGGTTGATCCGGCCTGAGACCGCCGGATAGATCTTGTTCGCAAAGGCAGCAAGAAGATGGAACGAATGCTACGGGGAATAAATGGGCGCCAAGAAATTGAAGTCCGCGGCGCTCCTCCGGCCGCGGGGCTTGGGGCGCAAGTAAGATTCAAATTACAGGCGTTCTCCCAGTGCTTAATCTGCTTGGTCCGCGACTGCAAAACCGGGACGGGATCTTTTTCAACGGGCACGCGGAAATCCGCGGCAAGAGGATTAAGGAAGAAACACAGAAGACACCGGTCACGATTTCGTCGAGTTAGGAGCCGTCCCCTTCGACCGTTCCGAAGTTTAATTTATCTTTACCGAGATACGGCTGCAGTCCGTCATCCGGAACGGCGGACAAGCTGCGCCGCTTTATTTCCTGGCCAGTTATGCGAGACGCTCCGTCGAACCGACGAATTCTTCGCTCGACAATCTCTGCCGGTCGCTAACGAATGCCGCCGCGTTCTATTGTTTGCCTCTCGGGCCGCGAGAATCCTGCAACTCGGTCCACGCTGTCGAATCGTCCCGATGAAACAATTATGCTTAGCGATATCCGCGTTCAGCAATCATTACGGCCACTGTAATTAACGCACGGACACGCTTAAAATATAGCGCGAGCTTCAGCGAGACCAACGTTGCGCCGACTCGAAATCGTAAACACGATTCATTCGAGGATATTACTTATTTGAGCCGTTTATTTTGAAAGTGGCATAAGTCACTTTGTTTTTAAGTCGATATATTATTTAAGGGTTTGCGTTTCAACACGTTTAAAAATATGGATGCTAGCTTTCGAGAAGATTTACTTGTATTTGTTATCTCAGGATACTGATATTTCTCTCGGTATAAATAATTTCGTAATAAACATTAAAAAATCACCACTTTTCATTACGGTAAAGTGACTTATGCCACTTTCAAAATAAACGGCTCGTTTATTAACGGATATAAATCGTTCGGTACACATAGTTCTGGTTATACGTCAGCGTTATGCTGACGCGCGATGTTGTCGAATCCTTTTGGCAGGACCTGAACTCCTGGCCGTGACCCGAGACGAGGAACGGCTTCCTGTTTTCGCGCACGAGTTCCACGGGGTTGGCTACGTGTCCGGGCTGCCGATCGCCGGTTTTCTATTTTATTATGCCCCGCGATATGTTCTTATCCTATTTCGGCCACGTCCCGAGCAGAAATTCGCGCGGCGATCGATCGTATACGCCGGCGACTGCATGCATGCGCGGCTTCGGGATAGGAAACGGCACTCGAAAGTAAAAACACTGTTAACGGCGTTCCCTCCGCCGCCGCGGCGTAAACAGTGATGCTGGAAAGGATCGTTTCCCTTTCGCGTCCAATCGAACCATTCGCTTCTATTCCGTCGGTTGAATTTTCCTCGCATGAGATAAAAGTGCATCGGGAAAGGTATCGTTATCGTTGAACGTTTTGACGAACTTATGACGGGGATTGGTAGATGTTTTCCGACACTTTCACTGTCGCGCCAGCAATCTCAAAAGTTTAATAAAATGATTTTTAAATAAATGTAAATGTACTTTACTTAACGAGATGTGAAAGTTGAACAGTTCGGTTCAGTGGCATAATTATTTCTTTAAAATATTCTGACGCTTCGTGGATCGCAACAATATTTTGGAGATGTAATAAAAATTACTGTAACAATTCAATTTCTAATCGGATCAAATAATTCTGTCATCCGCACGTGGGTGTCGCGACAGTCGAAGCGTTGAAACAGAGACAGATTAAAATAATTGAGCAGTATCGACACGTTGCTTTGCATACGTTAACGTTATTAGAGGAACGATAAATTCATTGAAGTTATTAGTGAAACGATGAATTTATTAATGTTATTAGTGGAACGATGAATGTATTAAAGTTATTAGTGAAACGATGAATTTATTAAAGTTATTAAAGAACCAATGAATTTAGCAGAGTTTTATTGGAGAAACGATGAATTTATTAAAGTTATCATAGAAACAATGAATTTATTAACGTTGTCACAGGAACAATGAATTTTTTAAGTGACTCTCGTTGCCTAAAATCGACGTGCAAAATTACGAAGTCCAGTTGTCACGAAAGAAAAGAGAAGAAACGAATTCATCAATGCATAACAATAAATGAAGAACAATTAACGATGAGGTTACTATGTTCCACTTTCTCTTACGATGCGAACAAGTCAAAAGCCGGTAATAACGCGTAAAGACAGAGGTAGCAATACAGAGTGTCTCATAATTATGTTAACACCCGGAAACTCGAGGTTCCTGAGGTCATTTGAAGCAACTTCGTCCTTGGCGAAAATGCGAGTTATTCCAGAAAAACGTTGACCAATGAGAGGCGAGCCGACGACTCGGTCGAGCCAGCGAGTGGTCGAAGCCCAGTTCCGCTGATTGGCTCGGCCGGCTAGCGGTACGCGAGCTCGCCTCTCATTGGTCACTGTTTTTCGTCGATAACTCGCAAACGAAGCCTCGTAGAACATTTTCGCTAAGGAAAAAGTTACTTCAAATGATCTCAGGAATCACTCTCTACCGGGTGTTAACATAATTACGGAACACCTTGTAGAATAGCTGGAACACTGCGTCAGCTGCGCTCCGAATAGAGCACCGAATAACGATTCCTCATCGTACTTGCGAAGAGTTTGCAATTCCTCTGATCCAGCCGGTTCCGAGGAAGCGGCGAAACGATGCGGAATAATTGCGAATGCATCGGGAGCATCGGTGGATTCGTGAAGCAGGGATCGGGGGGGGGGGGAGTGTTGCATTCGTCGACTGCAAATTCCTCGTGCCGCTTGAACGCTATGTCGTCGGAGGGGTGGCCCGTTAACGATCCCTATAACCGTTTCCCCGGTGATCCTCGGTGTGTCTGACCCGCATCAAAAAACCTTCGGCCGGTCGTCGTCGCATTAACGGCGCGGCACGCGTCCAATTTACCGTTTCCAGCGAATTAACGACGCGCTATGGCCGCGTTCATTAATTAATTCCGCGCCGATCAAAGCTGGGACCGCCGCGTAATCGCGGCATTATTCCCGGGATCATCGTAACTAACAAACACACCGCGGCGCGAAAATCTCGTTCTAGATTTTCAGTTCTGAATGGGCCGCTCCGGTTAATTTTTCATTGTTCACGCTCGAATACGTAATCCGACGGCGGCCACCGCCGCTTTATCTCGTTCCGCGTCCTCGTTGAACCGCGGAATCGAGATGGGAATTTTATCTGCCTGGAAACGCTGTTTCGACGCCTGTCACGCTCCTGGAATTCCTTCGTCGCGATTTTTATCTCGCGATTTTGTTTTCGTTGTCTTAGACAGCGATCTGCAAGGATTAATATTACATCGTTGTTATTACATAATTATATACAATTTCGTTAGTTTGTAATTACATATAATTACATTGTTATTAATGTAACATCGTTCGTTTGTATATTCTATATTTATTTAAAATTTCTACAATTAATTGACACGGTCACACGCTTAATTAAGATTTAATTGAAAACAAACTTGTCGAAAATATAGCTCGAGAAATGAAAGGAATTAACGTGTTCCGTTATTTTTTTGTTAGGAATATTCGCGGTTCGAGTATTAAGGGAGAGAATTCAGGCAAAAATCAATTACCAGCAATGTTGCAGATAACATTTTGAAAATATAACATTTTTATAGCTAAATTCTTCACGCTGATTCGAATTATGCGCAAGTTATTTGTCCAACTAGTTTCCTCCATAGTAAACAAATTTGTTTTCTGTGAAAAACTTTAAAACTTTATTATTGTACTCGTGGTTATTCAATCTTACCGATACTTATTGGCGCCCATTTAGCGCCAATTAGTTAACGAAATACACGTAATTCGAATCAGCGTAAAAACTGCTATCAAAGTGCACATTTTCGAAATTTTATCGGGAAAATCGCTAGTAAATAATTGTTGCCCGATTACCCTTCCTCGACCAGCTTATGGTCTTCCAATATCAAAATATGTACATCCCAACGTCATGATTTTGCGTTACGTTATAGTCAATATTTCAAAGTGAATATTTTACGAACGGGCAGTTTATATTTTAAGCGAATATTTTATGCACGCGAAGTTTCTGCTTCCAGCTAATGTTTCATGAACGCGTGCATTAATTAGTATTTCGCGTTGATATTTTATTAACGGCCGTTATATTGGGTTGGCAACTAAGTAATTGCCGATTTCAGTTATAGATGTCTCTCACTCCCATTCTTATGATATCCGTAAATGTTATATTATAAAATTATTATTATTATTATTATTATTATTATTATTATTATTATTATTATTATTATTATTATTATTATTATTATGTTATTTTTTATTATCCGTGAATGTTAGCAACTGGACAAATTGAATGCAGCGGTCAAGGAAAAGCGACCAGAATTGGTCAATCGTAGAGGTGTCATTTTCCAGCAGGACAATGGCTAGGCCGCACACGTCTTTGTCCACTCGGCAAAAATTAATGGATATTGGTTGGGAATTGATGTTACACACCCACCATATAGCCCTGATCTCGCGCCATCGGATTACCACTTATTTCGATCCCTGGACAACTCCCTTCGTGGTAAAACTTTTAATGATGATGACGCTGTAAAATTTCAGTTGACTCAGTTTTTGGTCGGAAAGGATCAGACTTTCTACGAGCGTGGAATTTTCAAGTTGTCAGAGAGATGGCAAAAGGTCATCGAACAAAATGGAAAATACATTGCAGATTAAACTTCATTCCAAATAAAAAAAATGTGTTATTTCATTGAACAAATCGGCAATTACTTAGTTGCCAACCCAATAGTCTGCATTGCCTCGATACACGTAAAAGATAACAAGTTTCGCAAACGTGTGCGACGTATAAGGGCGCCACGTTATAACGAGGACGGAAATCGGTGCGAAACTTCTCAGACGGATCTGACGGATTTTATTTTCTTGTTTACAGGCCGAACACACGACTCCACCTACACTCTATACAGACTCGGAGAGCGGCTGTCCAGCGGTGCTAGATTGTACGTGGAAACCGGAAGGACCGACGGTCTGGATGCCGACGGCGACTCCCCTAACAGCCTGCACTCGTTTGCCGGGCCACCGGTGCCCCAAGGGGAAGGCACCAGTATCTCCAGAGCATTTTTGGACGGCAATCACACTCTGATCAGCATCATGTCGCGTATCAACCCCAGCCCCGATTGGTTCATCGGCGTGGACTCCTTCCAATTGTGCGTCGAAGGGAACTGGGTGGACACTGTGACCGTTGAGGTAACTTTATTTATTCAGTATACCACCGGGAGCCCTAAATCTCCCCTCGATTTACTGTCTCGCGTTGTTCGGTGCTTGTTATCCCGTTCGAACCGCGTACGCCGACCCCTTTTCATATCGGTGGGTCCCTTCATTTATTCCGGAAGGGTAGCAGGTAAATGAGAATTTCGTCTACGGATAATGAATCATAAGTGGGCTGTAGATTTTCATGCTAGCTTCCATGTTCAGAGATTACGGTTAAATTCTCTCTAATTTCTCCTTCAGTTCGTTGAACGAAAATGAACGATTTTTTCGAGCATTGCGCCTCGTTTCTATGATTATTGACAATTTAAGTTAATCTGATCTCGTGGTAAATCAATCTAAAATCAAAATGAGCCGCGAGGTTTGAGTGATTGTGTCTCGTCTTCCAAAATTGTCTATTTGCATTTACAAGCTGGAGGAAAATTGGGGAGAATTTACTGTATTGCTTGAGAACTTGAATGAAGATATGTGGTTACAATGATTAGATGTTTTTCGATTGTAATGATTTCTAAGAATTTTATTTAATTTATATTAAGTATATAAATCGTATTATATTAATATTATAAATATTACTAAATATATAATTATATATAATGAATATACAATTATATATGCAATAAATATATAATTATATATATATATATATATATATATATATATATATATATATATATATATATATATAATAAATATATAA